GGAGCGTTTAACCAGTTCTACATTCTGAAAAAGTTCTTCAGTTTTTCAAAGAACTTAAAAATTAACAGGAATTTTGTTCTTTATTTGTCCTAAATAGAGAACGCAAATTCTGTTCTTCAGCTCTCAAGTACTCAAAACTTCTTCTTCAATTATCAACGAACGAAAAAATCAGTTTTTCAAAAACTGAAGAACAGAATTTGTGTTCTCTATTTGGGATTTTTGATGTGATTTTTCTGCTCTTTGAAAAATTAAAGAACATCTTTTTTTAGAGTGTAGAAACGTAGGGTATTACCTTTGTATATGAAAGAATATATTTTCATTTTTTATTTGTTGATATAAAGTGTACTGGGTAAAACCGTTTAAAGACGGAAAACGATGAAATTCTATGGTGTTATTTCTGAACCAGTTGTTTACTACTTATCATTTCACTGATAAACAGAAAACGATTTCTATTAAACATATTATTAATTATTGTAAACATTTATCATTCACAGTTGATCATATCCGCAGTTGTTCGAATTGAAGTACTTTCTTCGATTTTTCCAAGAGAACTTAAATGTTTTCATCGTAAAAGGAAAAACTGTGATAATGGAGAGTTTTCTTTCATTTTTATTTAGTTTTGATTTTGCATTTCTCCAAAATCATAGAAACTTGGTCCTATCTTCGACTAGATCGGAAGAACTCCAAAGGGAAAGAAGTCTTTTCTACGTTCCGATTGTGTCTAGGGCCGAAAAGATTGGAAGAATATAGAAACCTCCCGAATAGTTGAAATTTTTTTTCAGATTTTAACTGTGCCGCCCAAGGTTTTAGTTTCTATTTTTAACAGAATAGAAGAACTGCACCCATAAATGATACTCAAGAAACTAAACGGAAACAAAGACATTGTTTTAGCTCATTGACAATGTCAACATTACCGGCTTCTACTATCGCATATACAACCGAATCAGCAACAACTCAAAGTTCATCATATTGTTCATGTTTGAAGAAAGAAAAATTAATGGATATTGAAATTCAAACCGAATTTGTTTACATTCTGATCGCTTTATGCATATTGGCACTAAGCCATTTGTGTATTAGTTTATTCCGATTAGTCAACTATCACTTGTATCATAAGAAAAACTATGCATAGAATTAGCTTATCATTTTTAATGATAACAAAAAATCGTGTTTAACAGAAATAAAATAAAATAAGATCGTACAAAAAATATATCGTGATTATAAGAAATTATCGGATTTAAGCAGCAAATGTTTGATCACCATATTCTCCAATTAGTTGACTGTGTAATTGTCGAAAATTCTAAAAATAAATTGAAAATCATATGAATACGTCTTTCATTTGTTATAGAAATTCGAATGATAACATACGGAATGATCAATGTACTCTTCGCATACATAACAATAAATTGAATGATCACTTAAACTAAGACAAATGGAATGATTTGTTGCTGAATGATGATCTAACATATGTTTCAAACGATAACGAGAACAGCCAATCTAGGATAAAAATTCAAAAAATGAAAGAAAAATATGTTTTAACAACTTCATGTTATCCTCAACACTAATATGGGATATTTTTGAAAAGTTTTCTAGCATTGGGTCCTAAAATGACCAAGTAGAGAGAATATAGAACTGTAAAAAAACTGTATTTTCTCTTTCTTCCAAGTTCGAACTGTCAAAAGAGAATTATACTTTTCTTTTTTGTTATTGTTGGCATTAAAATCTGTTATGTACCAGAGACCGTTTCAGCCTGTTATCCAACGATAACTATCCAGCGATTTTTCAGCTCTACCCTAGTGAATAATTTAAGTAGTTAGTTTCTTGTTGCAGTTGTGGATAGAGACCATAGACGCTAGACAGAATAGATATTCCCTCGTGTCATTGAGCTTACATTCTCTCGTAACCAGAGTTGCCAGATGCTTAGGTCAAAAAAACGAAACAAGAGTTATGTATGACAGGATAAAATTTAATTTGAAACTTTTCCGCCTACGACAGCACTTAATGGTTAAAATTTTCTGACCGAGTTGACTTCCTTGAAGATTTAGTATTTCACTATTTTTCACACTCCCTTTTAGCAGCACTTGAGACAAGCTAATGTTTTTCTGTTAGCGCTCACTACCGGGGCAAATTTCTAAGACTAAGACTAAGACTGTTTTATCCACGAAAAGTGAGTCATCAAAGGTCACCGACCTATAATAACAATGACTCAAGCCAAACAACACCAAAAGTGTAATAAAAAATAACAAAATAAAGAAGACAACTAAGGATAGAATCAGATTTAGTTCTCAAAACAGAGCGCATCTGTTTTACAAAAGTTGCAAAAGCATTGTTTTGACAGGGGTCATTCAGGTTGTCATCAACTTTAAATTTTTTATGAGAAAATGTAAAAATCTGAAAAAGGAACAAAAAGATTCCTCGAAAGCGGACAAATTGCGGATAAAACTACAGAAAGCGGAATTTGTCCGCAACATGCGGACCATCTGACATCTCTGCTCGTAACATTATAAGCATATGTATTTTATCGGAATGTAAGATGTTTATCGTAAAACGTTTATGACAAGTGAACTTTGTCAAACATACACAACGCTGAAAAGCTTATTATTCTTTGTTTTCTTACCAGATTACAATCTTGTTGGAGACAGACCCAGTTTTCTTCTGTCTGATGGCATTCGTGGCATGGTGGTTGATGTCCGTTAACTTTTCGAGCTGATGCAGGAAGAGTATAGGGACGTTGTTCAATGTGTGGACAATCATATTTTAATAGTACAGGAAACGGCTAAAACCGCAGAGAGGAGAAAACATTATAGTCATCGTTCATTTCTACCCGTTGTAAGTCCTACCCCTCTTTCTTCGGCTGCTGGGTCATTTCTTGATACTGCGTTTGTTGATTGATTTGTAGTTGAATCCATTAGTATTTAAAAACACTTATGTATTATGAAAAAAATACTGTTTATGCGTCGTCGTTTAGAATAAAATAGTAGTGAGTATTTTATACGTCTTGTTCGATTAGTCATACGCGGATAGTTCTTACAATTGTTTTGTGCAATCCATGATTATTCACCTAGAGGCCTCAATTGCGACCATCTTAGCAGTCCTTTTAGGGTGAAAGGAAGCTAAATAAGAATTGTCACGCTGGCAATATTATTATAATTTGTCAAGATGCTGCAAGATCATTACGTAGTTGCATTCTATACATCTGATATGAGACGTATACTTTATGTCAGTTGAAATGAAATGAAGCGATAATGAGATCAGAGAATGAATAAATGGACTTAAATAAAACTTAACAGAATTGGTTAAAAAATAGTACATTGTAAAATAACCGCACGCTTGAACCGTTTCAACCTGACGCATAAAACGTCAGGTTATGAATCATCCTTTAAAATACAATCCAACCTGAGTAATGTGTTGCATACTGCTTCAAGGAAGGTTGTTAATCACAAACTAAATATTAAATTGGCTTTTTTCAAAATATTCAAAGAAATTAGATACGCAAATATGGCCGACTAAATAACGAAAAATTCTAGACCTTAGATGCTTTTTTCGGGTACTAAACCACCTATTAACTCATGTGTTTATCAATTCACTCGATTGAAAGAAATTTTATCAGGAAATAAGAAGAAAAAGCGTCAATACAGTTGAACAGAGGCGGCATCTCATCGAAGAAACTGATTGAACAATTCCCTCATCTCCAATATCTTGTTTTGCTCTCCACTGAAAATCATTTTTGTGCATATTTACTGACTGACAGGTCCAACCAAAACATAATAAATTTCCTCCAAATTTTTCCTGCTTCTAAAAATGAATGAGATTGTTTCTGTTTCAAAATCTAAACACGTTTGTCAATGAAAACTGACATTTAATAACTTATGGATAGACTGTTAACATAACTGAATAACGAAAAAATTGACTTTTAATTAGTCAATTAAAAACTTAGAAAGCGGCCCATTAACAGTCACTGTTTTTTATCCGTTATTTCACCATGAATCAGGTCTAAAACTTGCATTTGACTGTATGTACTTGAAACTCAAATTCACATCGTCCTGAACTGCCTGTTGCCATGGCGTTTTGCGACAGTTAAAATATCAAAGACAACTAGCATATGACGGTGACCGTTAAATGTCGGTTTTTAACCGTTTGTCAACAAATCATTCACTTTTTGTTTCGCTATTTTAACAAGTATGAATTTGCTACTGCTTGTTTTGAACACACTGGGAAATTTTTTCTTCGATTACAGCAGTACATTACAGCACCTCTTCATTTGATTTCTTTATCTTTTTATTCTATAGTTTACAGTTTGTGAACTCGTATTTTATTTAATTATTTAAAATAACGTCGTAGAACTCTTGAGTCCATCCGTCCATCATCATCAGTACAAAATTTCTATACTGAAAAACAGACAAATAAGTAAAGAATCGCGTATATTTGTCAAGGAAAAGTTTTCCTATACAACAAACAGTGAACTGTTACTTCATTTCATTCGTGTGAAATACTGGTATCAAAATGACATACAGCACAAACACAAAATGGCGATTATTTTTCCATTAGCTATATAGATTTATTTTCATCAGTATTCTATGTTAGGGGTGGCACATTACTGTTACTTTTACGAGTAATCCAAATATTGTATATATTTCTATTACCAGTAACAGTCATACTTTCCAGTTTTACTGTTCCTGGTAATAGATTTGTATCAGCAACAGTAAAACTGGAAAGTATGACTGTTACTGATAATAGAAATATTTACAATATTTGGATTACTCGTAAAAGTAACAGTAATGTGCCACTCCTATCCCATGTAATAACTTGTGTGTTTATTGCACACAAAATTCTGTTTATTCTAATAATGATGGTATTCGCTGCTTTACGATGTTTAAAAAAACCATCAGAAAATGGAAGCATAGAAATTTGTCCAAAATAAATATTCTGAACAAAAATAAATGACATGTATCTTCGAATAAAATTTGACATATAAATGTAAAAAGAAAACAGTGATCAACGCGTCACATAAATACGTATAAACAATCATGAATCACCTTATTACTACATAATAATTATTCACACAAAACGAAACAAAGGTAAACACACGTGTTACAAAAATAAGTGAGAGAAAATACCTTGACTAGTCGTTAAATAAGCCTGACTAATCGTTTTTTGTACATTAAAACAAATGTAGGTAATTGACAAAATTTATCAGACAAACAAAATTGTTAGTAACAGTTTACTATTTGTTGCACAGGAAAACTTTTCCTTGATAAGGTTCAGTAGTGATAGTTAAAAACACAGTATTCTTGCCGATAATGTATTCTTGTTTTGTCTGCCATTCAATCCATTTTCCAGCTGGTACATTAGGCACATTGTAATCGTAATACGTCTGTTTTGACCAATTGATGACAATAATCATTTGATCCGATTTATTGTCATCATATCGATGGTAAACAAAGAGTTTTAATTTTGAATCTTCATATATAAAATCTAGATTTAACGTTTTTAATATGTGTTTATAATCGTTTCGTAGTTTGATCATTAGACACCAATATTCAAACAGTGCTTTATTCTCTTCATTTGATTTATCTTCCCGATCGTCCAATAATGTCCAATCTAATTTCGATTGTTCGATAGCTTTTGGTTTATACTCTAAATAACCGAAAATATTCGGAAAAAGTTTCGTCTTTGTCTTATGGATGTATCATACCTCCAAACTCTTCTCCCATCCATAATAAAGGAATACCGATTGATGTCATCAAAACAACTACACCCAATCGTATTCGTTGCATCGCATCTTTCCCAAATAGTTGTTTTGCTTGGTTTATTTCAACCAAGAGACGGTCATGATCATGGTTACTAATATAATTGACTAGATTTGTCGTTGAAACGTAACCTAAAGTAGGGGAAACAAATGGTGACAGTATCATCTATTTTCAACTCTTTTACCTTGTTTACGTCCATCAATGCACGCTTTTAAACTCTCAAATTGAACGTTGTCATTAATTAGTGCATCTTTTAAAATATAATAAAACCTGTCGTGCCACGTGCCATCCATCGGTCTAACTTAAATCGATTATTTTATTTTATTTTTTCAAATTAAAAGCAAAACAATAATTTACCCGCCACGATCGATTGTCACAATTGGATCATCAGGCAAATATTCTAAATAATCAAATATACGGAAAAGATTGATAGACATTCCTCAAGAAGAGTTGTTTGCCTACCTGAGACACAATAAAATGGCTTTTCTCCAGCTATTTCTTTCGTTTGTTTGACAATTGTAGTCAAAAATTCGAAATGTTGAATTTGCTAAAATGTGTAATTGTATTGTTGTCTTATAATACTGATCACAATAGTCAGCTTACTTTAGCTGAATCAAATCTCAGGCCATCAATATGAAATTCTTGCACCAAATAACGAATAGAATCTCCTACATATTTTCTAGCTGGCCATACATCATATTTTGGATCATAATGTTGATAGCTTCAAAAGAAGGGAATAAGTGTAGTGTACGAAAATGAAAAGGAACTCACTTCACTCACTTCCACTCAGGCCCCCATGATAGCTCTTTACATTTTGGTTCATGATGAAACCAATAGTCATGATCGATTTGTGTCAATGGGGAGGAACAATCCGTCTACAACGTACAAAATTATATTTAATAAATATTTTACTTCCATTAGAAAGTGAATTTTAATTCAACTCATCTATTTTTACTTCCATCAGAGAATGTACTCACATGATTATAGACACCGTCTACCAAAACTCTGATGCCGTTTCCATGCATCGTATCAACCATCTCTTTAAATTCATATGTGGTACCATACATGTGTTCAATAGCAAAATTATATCGAGGATTGTATCCCCATGAATGAATACCCTAAAGGACCGCAAGAAATCAATGAGATAAACAGAAAAGATTCGCATAAAACACTTTCATGTACCTGACACTGCTTCACTGGCATCAGTTCGACTACAAAACAAAGGTTGAAATAATTTTATATATCAGTCCGTTTATTCAACTTACTTGCATTAATGCCTAATTTTTTGAAATAATCAATTTTATTTGTTACATCTTTAAATTTTTGAAAAAAGTCACCAACGTGTAATTCGTATATAATCAATTCGTCGTTCGGCACCAAATATCCATCATTTTCATGCTTCCATTCGTATTCATCAATTATTCGTTTTCCATCTTTGATTGCCAGAACTCCCACCGAGTGATGAGCATCATCAGAGCCTCGCTCATCAACGTCGGTGGCATACGGATCAACAAATGTATACCATATTTCAGTGAATGTTGGTTCGTTCGTTTTTTTCTTCTCTTCATTTTCAGTTTTTTCGGCTAGAATATAACACCGATCTCCACATTACGTGAAAAAATGAGAAAGTTTTCATAAAACTCACACGAAGTTTTGTCAAAATCAGCGGTGGCTGGTTCTGGTGGCGATTCAAACCAACTTTTCGTCATTACTTTGAACCGATAATGATACAATCCATCACCAAGCTCAACAGACTTACGAAAATAACCAGTTTTTTCGTCTTTCTCCATCTCAATATCCAAACCAAACATTCCTCAAATGTAGATAGGAACCGATGTAACAGTATACAAGATGTAAATCAATTACTTACGTGCATTTACATTTTTCAATTGTAAACCGGCCTTTTGGTTGTATGGAGCAAAAAGTGTAAACGTATACGATGACATTACCTAGAAATAGATGACCAAAGAAAAACTTAACAAATAAATGGAATATAATAATAAGAACAAAACGCTATTATGAATAGAATAAATGAAATAACTGACTTTCTAATTTTGCGATCACAATTATTCAATATGAGAAAATATTACACTCTTCTCTCTATCTTCAAAGACCTATCATTTCTACTTTTCTGTTCTAGACATAAGTCAGTATAATCAGCGGTAGCTTTTTCAATGAATGCTACTTTATCGCTGCGTGTACGCATCCATTCTGCTTTTTCACAAAGTGTACACGTTGTGAAAAACATATCTACATTAGAAAATAACTGTTTACTTCTTTTTTTCCTTAACGTACATGCGTTATACACAACTCTCTCTTTCTATTATCTTTTGTGGTTGATAAAAATTTATTTTTCCAGTTTTAAAAGAAAATTCCTGTCAAGATTTGTTTTTTGTCTAGGGGTTGCTAACGGGGACTGTGGGTGAAACTCTTTCCGATTGTCGATTATGATGTACGCCACCTTTATCTAAAATGGCTCATCGCGCTTTGTCGAGAAAAAAAATTTCAAAAGATTCGTGAAGCATTTGAATCCGCGATCAAAACAATAGTTTGTTTCTCGATAGACGCTCTTAATTAACTGAGAGCTCTGAATTTATATCCATAAAGTGTTGTTTCGTATATTAGAAGTAGAAGAGACCAAGAAAATATAGTTGTAATAATTAAAGTTAGAAACTTTTTTTGACGGATCAGCTGATTACTTGTGAAAACATCAACTATTTGGTACATTGCTCACTTGCGTGCACTTATATTTTGAGACCTTGCACAGTCAAAATGTTTAGCTGCGCCTTCATAATGGAGAATACACCTTAGATTCGGTGCATTACCTGAGAATGAATATCCTTTTTCTAATTAATCCTCTGAACTGTTCATGAGAAAGAGAGCTCAACTTTACGATGGAATCAGAAAGGATTTACATCTCTCGGCTTCCATACTACCTCTACCGCTGTCTCAAAATGCTGTATGCTCACTTCGGTGTTGAACGGTGAAGTTATTTAGTTTATCCTGTTTTAATAACAGGGGGTCGTATCACAAAAAAACTTAAGCCAATGGATGACTTAAGTCATAGGAAATGTGGCCTTAAAGTTAAGATCGAAAACTTAAGTCGGACTTAAGTCATTGACGCATTTTTTGAATAGATCAGGCATTTAACGATACGATTCGACGAAAACGACATTCTAAGGATTAGAGAATAAATATTTCGTTATTTTGCGGATTTTTATCCGAAGTTTGTCACTGTTGTCAACGACTTTTAAAAAGTAAACAAATCGCCAACTTAAGTCTTTTTCGTGATACGGTTTAAGTTCCCGGACTTAAGTCGGTCTTAAACTTAGACTTAAGGCCCGACTTAAGTTTTTTCGTGATACGACCCCCAGATCAGTAAAAAAAACATATCACATCAAAAGATAAAACAAGTACGAGTGAAAATGATCTTCATGTTTAGGGAGTATGAAGAGCAAAGGGAATTTACAGGCAGAAAGAAGAGTATGTGCTTCAAGCGTGTATTTGAGTCAACGGCTCAAGAAAATTAAATCATGCGTTTGGTAAAAGAATTTCACTAGCAATGCACAACAATTCTCCTGTTTCAGTGCTTTTTCTTCTACAAGATATTGAGTTAAACTGTTTGACTTAATTTCAGGCTGTATGTAGTTCTCTTTTTCAAGCTTCTTTAACAGTGTAACTTCTTTCGATTTTTCTGACTGGCTGCCTTGGTGACCAATTATTTACATATACTTCTTAACGACATTGCAGTTCGAAATAGAGAAAAATAGAATTTAAATAAAAACTGAATAAATTCCTGATAAAAATTGCTTCTATTTCGATTTACAACATTACAAATAACAATATTACGCTTTTCACTGATGAGAAACAACCGGACTTCTACTAAATCTCTTTATAGTTAACTTATTTAATTTTTTGTAACTAGCTGCATCTAATAAAGCAAGCGCTGAAGGTACCTGCATCTAGGGGCGCAAATAGGAGTCAAGTATTAGGGGAATGTAAAAAGAATTTTCGCCTTGAGGTAGTGTAAAATTGATAAAAAGTAGTTTGTGCAAGGAATAATCGATAAAATAACAATACCTTTTTCAATTATTTGGGGGATGTGCACTCTCCCACACCCTCCCGATAATTGCGGCTCTGCTTGCATCACGGGATTTTCGATTTACCTATTTAATTCAGTTTTTCTCCGTTCAGCTGGCTAGATCTAGTTATTGCACTGAGTAAATCTAGACTCATCACCCAACGCTAGTTACACTTTGGTGCTTGGATAAGGACCAAAAATATTTTGAAATTAACAGCTTCCAAAAAATTTCTTTTGGAAGTCGCCACAAACTATTCAAAGGTCTATAATTTAGCACGTTAGAAAACAGAAAACTTGAGCTATTGAACGGGGTATTCATCCCAAAACCAACATTTTCTATGAAAAACTCTTTGTCTTATAGGAGGTTTAGAAATTGTGAGATGTTTTGCAATATATTATACATTGTTTACTGAGAAATGATTATCGGTGCCCAATAAGATGAAAAAACAACCATGGCCTAATTGATCTTACTTCTTCTATGTGCTATCTAGCTCATTGACCTTTCTTCGACGTTTTTTTTGACGTTCAGAGACATTAATAATTCCACAGTACTGCTTCTCACCGCTCTTCCCATCTATCTTTCAGTCCTCATTATTATACTCAAGACGCCCTCATGATTCTAGATTTACATATTAACCCTCACAATCACACTCTGGACGCTCTTCTGTATTTACATAATTTTTTTAGTACTATTCTTCAATGAAATTGTTTTCCAAGAAAGTTTGCATTTCTAATGTAAATAAATAAGTTTTCTCCTTATCGGGTTTTTATATAAAATCTATTTTTCTTCAGCCAAAAGCATTTTTATATCAAAGTAATATTTTTCTACCTCAGTATATCTTAAGTGGGGTTTTTTCGTTTGAAAAGTTTTTTTATCGTGCTTGATATCCTATAAATAATTTCGAAAAATAGAATCTCAATTTTGATCTATACTCTGATCGTCCGTATAAGAAAATAATTGTTAATAGGCGACTAATAATTCCAATACCCAGTAGCCATCCAACAGAGTTTTCTACATCATTAAACGAATAATATTCTCGAAGGTATTCCACCTGAGTACTCCAGACACTACCATAATTGGATGTCGTAGAAGTTTGAATATATCGATCCATATCATAAATAAACAATTGACGTTGAATATGACGAGAAAATGAGAAAAAAACAAGACTATTTAATTTCTCTCGTTTTGTTGGATTAAAACCGGAAATTAGACAAGATATTAGTGCAATGAGTGTTGCAGCTAAGTATGAGTTTTCTGTTCGTTGACATGCAACAGATACAAATTGACCAATTCCAGTGCAAGCAAATGCTGTAACAAGTAAAATTCCATAGTATTGTCCGAATGTTGAACGTGGTTCAATTTCAATGTATAACATGGTTAAGAACAGCAGTGGATAGGAGAAGAGATGAATTAAATCTACGATCGTTTTTGCTAGCCAGTATTGAAATGGATGATAATAATTTCTCGATTCTCGTATAAACGTTTTATCGGCCATTTCTATACCAAATAAACGCAAACTACTAATACATGCTGCCATACCAAAACCAAAACTAATTAGAAAATAAATTGATGGTAATGTTTTTATATCACATAATTGAGTTTGATTCTTAAATAATTTGCCAATCGTTAGACCGAGTATAAAAAATGCAAATCCATATATAGATTCTGTTGCATAATTTCTCATACACATTTGTACAAGTGTACGATGAATTAAAAAGAAAATTGGTTTGAAAATTGAACGTCTATTTATTGAAAGTTTAATTAATGGTGGTTCAACAATATTTATTTCTGGATTATTGGATGTATCATTATGATGTTCACTATGGTGTTCATTATTCGGATGGAATCTTAGAGCATAGATACACTTATCACATTCATTTAATGATTTGTACACTTGAAGTTTATCACTCTCATTAAGACTCATTTCTCTGATTGATTTGTGAACATGAGCTAATGCTTGTTTTCTATCACCCTGATAAGCTAAAAAGCATTGTGGTGTTAAAAATATCACATGATCAATTTTTTGAAACAGTTCAAAACTCGGTTGATGAATAATCATAATAATGTTAACGGGACAAAATGCATTTTGTTTAATTATACTTAGAAGATCAAATAATTTATCACAAATAACACTATCCAACCCACTTGTTGGCTCGTCCAACAGTAGCAATTTTGGGCAAGCAGCTATTTCAATAGCGATATTAACGCGCTTCTTCTCACCTATAAATACATACGAAGGATACAGTAAGAGCATATTGTATTGATTTCATCAAAATATACCTCCTGATAAAGTTTCTGTAATTTTTTCGTATTTTTCTGACATATCCAATTTTGCTAACACAAATTTCACATCATTTTCAATTAAACGAGGTTCATCTGTTAATCGTCGTGCTCTTGCTGAAAAATACACTGTCTCGAAAACAGTCAAATCCGAATGCATTACATCTTCTTGCGGTACATAGCCAACTTTATCTGATAAAAATGTTTCTAATGGATGACGATGTGCAAGTGAAATAAGCCCTTTTCTCTGAATATCTTTTCGTCCTTGGATGGCATACAATAGACTTGTTTTGCCGCAACCTGATTGTCCCATAATAGCATTAATTTTTCCTGATTTAATCGTACACGTGAATCCTGATTTCTTTTTATCCCATGATGGAAGTCTCAAACGTGCATCTTTTAGTGTAACATCTATTCCTGATTCTTTTTTTTGATGCCCTTGGGACAATCTAAAGTAGTCACTTGTGTTTAAATCTTCTGGGTCATTCGGATGTTTTTTATAATTTTTCTTTTTTTTGAATAAGTTTTTAAAAACTTTTTCCCATAAAATACTTAGAAACTGAATGACAAGTAACATTCCAAGAACTGAGGATGCAACCGTCATTGCTATGTCCCAAATTTTGTTATTATCCAATATACCGTTTTTACATCTAAAACCAAGTGGACAATCTAATGGTTTTATAACACCTGCTGGGCAATAGCCTGTTGATAGATTATCACATGATATTATGTTTGACGAATTTTTACAATAGGAACCATTTGGGCAGAATCCTTCATGAACTGAACCACCACATCCCAATTCTTGAAATTGTTCAGGCGTGCTGGCACATTGAGCTTGTGTTAAACATAAACCACCGGAAGGTGTTAACGGTGATGGACAATAAGCGGAATCTCGACATGGAATCATACATACTTGGCCATCTGGACAAAAATAGCCGAGGTCTATTTCATTTATTACATCGTACTCATAGCGTTTTTTTTCAAGCGTAAATTTAATGAAGAACCATTGATAATAGTGACACATGCATTAATTACTCGACATTCATGAAAGGATAAACGTCATAAGTGAATTCTGCATGGGACAACATGCATACGGCGTAGGTTTAGTCCCATTTTCACCGTAAGAATAGAAGAATCCAGATTGGCATGTTTCTATCGAACACCTTTTATAATCGTACAATGCCACAACAGCATTAGCTGGATTTGTATAAAACCCTTTAGTTATGGTTTCACTGCATATATAATCCATCATAAGCATAGGATTTATACATATTTCCTCAGCAAAACAATCCTGATTAAATGTCCNGGGACAACATGCATACGGCGTAGGTTTAGTCCCATTTTCACCGTAAGAATAGAAGAATCCAGATTGGCATGTTTCTATCGAACACCTTTTATAATCGTACAATGCCACAACAGCATTAGCTGGATTTGTATAAAACCCTTTAGTTATGGTTTCACTGCATATATAATCCATCATAAGCATAGGATTTATACATATTTCCTCAGCAAAACAATCCTGATTAAATGTCCACTCGAATTGATTTTCATCTGGTGAACACTGAAGACACCGAAATGCGCTTGTGTTTGAATAACATTGTCCAGAGATGTAGCAGTAGTCCGGAAGTGTCTCACATGTCTGATTGGCACACTCTTGGCATTCTGAGCAAGATGGACTACACTCTGTATCATTGTTGACACCGTTAGTAGCATCAATGATTAGCGCTTTATTAGCTAAATGACGAAACGGTGGACGATATAGACACTGATCTTCAAATTGCTGGCTGAAAATGCCAACATTGACGATTAAAAACAATAATAAAATCATAATTACGTATTCACCTAGACTGAAGTAAAAGCAAAACCTACTACTTTAAATAAATTAAGTGGCTGTAATTAGCTAATAGTTCCGATTTCATTGTAATTTTTATTATATTACGTTCTGTTTCTTTGTAGTAAAGTTAAAGAGTGATATCTTTTGCGCACATCACATTTTGTTAACAACAATGAGTTCTCAAAAATTGATAAGAACAAAGCAAATCTCAGACACACATGCGTGCCGCAATTTCACGGTGTCGTACGTGCTCTTACCATTTAAACATCCATTAGGTTCATTTCATCACATCTCTTTTTCTGATGATGTGATTAAGGTTGTTTTCGCACGGAAAATGTGAAAGCTGGTACGAAAGTTACACATTACTGTTCGTTATGTAGAAAATGCATGTTAGTAATTCAAAAATAGATATATAATCAAATAACGGGGATATTTAATTAATTACGAAAACCGTGAGTATTTCTGTTTTTCTTCCGTGCATTTTTCTGTAATCGTGCACGAAAAACTAAAAAGATTTTTTAGTGCACGGAAAATAGCAAACAGTGCACAAAAATCATTTTCCCCAAATTCATTTATAAAAATCTATTCTTCAGTTTTTCAAAGAACTGAAAAATCAATTGGAATTTTGTTCTTCATATGCATCGAATAGAGAACTCAAAATTTGTTCGTCAATTTTTCAGTTCTTTGAAAAACTGAAGAACACCTTTTAGAGTGTAAGTTATGAGCGCATACTATTCGAGCTTTGATGTTAGCGAGAGTAGTTCCTTTGCACGGCGATACCAATACAAACAGAACATGAATGTTACTCTAGTCAGATGATTCTTCATCTCTATATGACTAACTATATCACTCGCAAAAATGTTTTGTGCATGACATAAAAAATAAGTGTGAAATCAGATGACTGCTGGACACACAGCATGATTCAGGACGAAAAATTATCTGATATCGAACCTAGTTGAGTCGGACACAGACCTGTGCGCCGGTCGGAAAATCGGCAGCGACGTGTAACAAAAGTTTTCTGATCAGAGGCGCCGCCAGAGCCTCGTTAAAACATTTTTCACCTCCGGTGGCGGCGGCTAAGAAAAAGTGTTCATTCGGCGGAGGCTAAAAGATTATTTAAAACTTTGGATCATCAGCGGAGGGGCGCAACCAAATTTGAATACGAAACTTAGTTTAAGCCAAGATCTATTGTCAATTTCATTAAAGTTTTTATTTTATTTTCAATCAAAATAATGAGGCTAAAACAAGTTTGTACAGCGAGGACCTCCAAAAAACTTCGGTGGCGGCGCCGAGGAACTCGAGAAACGTTCGACGCCTTCCGGATCGATAATCTTAGTTATACATCGGTGGCGGCGGAGCGCACAGGTCTTGTCGGACATTGCTGTATTTGCGATACTTTAAATACGAATACAGATAAGAATTATTAAAATTAACTTTTAGTTGCTTGTTAACAAGCAAAAACGACGCAATTTTTTGGGTTATTTATCTAGATTCAGCTCCACGTACATCTAGATACACGTGGAGCTGAATATCCGAAATAATTACGTCGGTTTTACTTGAGTTATTCGTAACAGTATTGTACTAACGAGGGAACCGCCCCAGGTGTCCGGCTCCGATTTCGTTCGTTCATACAGCATTCGATAGAGGACCTCGAGTAGGCAAAAAGGCTAAAAGGATTTGGGCGGAGGGCCCTTTAAGACCCGGTTTTCTGGAAAACCAGTTTTTCAAAAACTCTAAAAAGATAGCGAGCACCTTTCTTAATGAGGCAAAATTGTAGCCCGCGGAATTCTGATCAAAATGAGATATCTCCCAGCTCTACATGCTCTTTCTTTGCAAAGTTATAGAATTTACAAGAAAAGCCCTAAATTAATTTCTTCTAATTTCTGTAGCTTTGAGCTGACAGTCAAAATTTAGGGCTTTTCTTGTAAATTCTATAACTTTGCAAAGAAA